GCCTATAGCATATTCATCTCTATTTTCCCATCATTAAGGTACAAATTTGTGTTATGCAAATATGGAGTTGCAGTCGAGCGGCTTAGGGCGTTACTTGAGCGCAGTGAGGCGTCAGACAGCGGCCACACTGTGATCCGGGCGCACTAATGCGGGCGTCGGCGCGTCGCGCGTCGCCAGACGTGTAGTTGGAAAACAAGACGCAACTGTGCGCTGTGAGTTGAGCCTAAGGGTGCTGGCGAATTTACAGGCACAGGGTGTCGGGCGCAGTGACAGTGCCCCAATCTTTGCGGTTTAAAGCTCTGAGTGGCACAGCAACTCTTATGAAGTTCGACCCGTCACTTGATATTATGAAAACAAACCTGAATATTTGTCTTTTAAAATTATTTCAGTTACAAAAAGTTCAAATACTGCTCTGTCCTATAAAACTCCCTGTGAGTATTGTTGTTCTGTTGTTATAAATCGGTGTCAATCAGGAGCCCACCCTGCGTTATAGGTATGATGAATGAACCAAGCGTGACACGCGAAGTAAACGGGCTATTGCTTCGCTACATCATTTAAAATAAGTACCTTTGCACCGATTTTCCGATCACTAGGGAAAATATAACTGTAAATCACGCGCCTTCTAGAAGGCGCCAGGGCTATTGATTGCACCCGGGTGGTACATGGGCTAGCGCCGTCGTCGCTGACTTCTGTGCATTATTCGTAATATACTATATATATTCTTTACCTCGCTGCTCCTGCGGCGGAGAGGTATCTTAGGAAGAAAAAAGCTTCGACCTTTTAGAACCACGACAAACAGTATAAAAAATTCACAATATTTATTCGATTCCAGCAGTCCAATACCACTGTCGGTTTTAATTGAAAATGACTTGGCTTCAAGCCACAGTGTTGGGTATTTGTGTGCGCACTTGCTATGAGTAATTAATAAATTATTTATCGAACAAGGCAGTAGACGGTGGGCAATTGCTACGTGTTACCTAATTCAATGCGTCAACTTACTTATTTAATCTCTCGGCAAGTTGCGTGAACGGAATTAAATAGGTGTTTAAATCTACTAATTTGTACTCTTGGTATATTAAAGGCGCATCTGTAAAATGACAACTTTTCAGCTCAGAAAGCTTTATAGATTCTACGTACGAAATTGGTCGACAACTTTTTTGTGCTTAAATACAAAAGTTATAATATTTTACATGTAAATAATTTCGCTCATTTGGTGCTACACTGACGCAATTATATTTCTTGTAATGTTACAAGAAACAGATTTGAATGTAGGTCAATGATTTGAGTTTTTTTTAATTTTATTTCAAATTTATGACGTGTAAAAAAGCTTCGGGTATTTTTATAATATATATAAATTTACAATTATTACCGATTTTTCTTCAAACGTACCTGCTGTTGGGCAATTTCCCGAAAAATTTAAAACAATGGAATTTTTTTCTGAACAAAATCCCGAAAAATCGGAAAAATCTAATTTTGAAGGCTCATATTATGTTCTAAGTTTAAAAATAACTTTTGAAGTTTTATTTAGCGTGAATTATAAAATAAACTTGTATAGCTAAAAGCTACTTAGAGAAAAACGAGATTTAAAGTGATTTCACAATAGCGAAAATAGTACATTATGATACAAGTGTGCTAAGTTGGTCATTACACACGAGGCGTTATTACTCGCGCGAGCCGCAGGCGAGCGCGATAAGAAAGCCGAGAGTGTAATGATCAAAGCACACGTGTTTCATACGACGTTTTTCAACACATTTGCGAGGAAAATGAAACAACCTGTAAAGAAATTAAAAATATAGGTATTTTCGCAAATATAATACAAGAAAAATGAAAACATAAAAAAATTAAGGTTTAATACGATCAACTGACCTTTGTTGCTAAATACTGATAATCGGGGGCTTCTTTTAAAAACTTTTCGACGTCAGTTGGCGAAAGTACCTTCGATTTTCTTGCAACATACCCATCAGAGCGTCTCTTTAAAAATGCCGTCAGATTTGAATAGTTTTTTATGTCTATGTTATTCTTGTTCTTTACTGTGGTCTTTAACATAGAATAAATGCACCAGAGCGAGCTGGGCTTAAACCTATTCGCCAGTTCATTAAAATAGGCAAGAAAAACATTTTCTGAAAACGAAGACGCTTTTTTGTTGGTTTTCCATTGTATAAAAGTTTCATATGCAGCCATGTATTTTTCTCTGGATTTCGAAGGTAATAAACTGTCACTTGCGTTTTGTGCCTCTGTGAGGATTTCGGGCGGTGTTAAATCCATCAAAATGTTTTCTTCCGTGCTTGAGCAGGACATTTTAAACACCTAGGTAATTATCTAACACACAGCGTATATAAATGTTTCGAACGTATCAATGGAAATTGGCGCGCAGAGTTACTTTTTCTGCGCCTGGCGCCGCGGCGCGGATATGCGCGCGCAGGTGCTTCGGCAATAATGAGACTTAGGTGAAATTCCTAAACAGCCAATGCGAAATAATATAAATATGTCCTTATTTCACTCAAATTCGTGTAAAATATTATCCAAAATAAGTAATTTTATTCAATTAAAGTTTTATAGGTGTATATTGTGTATGTTTTTCTATATTTATCACATCAAATAAGAAATATAAATTTATTAATAAAAATATTATTTGTAAGGTAAGACTACACAACCGTATTAAACAGAAATAAAAAAAAAACTGTGACCCTGTTTGTTTGGGATTACTGTCATTGTAATTTGAATCTTATAATATGTTGGTTAGAGCTGTTTTTTAATAGACCAAGTTAATTTCAAAGACATAACCCGGATAATTTAAGAATGCATAGTTTTAATACATAGGCCTCGTTGTGAGATACATCTTAATCCGGTTAAGCCTATACTTATTACACACACGTTTTGTAATATAATTACAAACGCGTGTTCAATAGCTAGGTTTATGAGCCTAAAAGCGATACAATAAGAAGCCCGTTACGAGCAAATGTGTTGAAAAAATAGTTTTCGTTCAGGTGTCAACGTCATATACGGAAAATTAAAGGAAAATTATTGGAAAAATTACAGAAGGAAGTGGAAAATTTTCCATAACTCGACATTATTAAAACGGAAACACATTTCATGTTAGAGATGTGTTAACATACTTAATTTTATTAGTTTTATATAGTTCGTATTAAATCCTAATAGTTCCACCCATGTTATGTAGTGGGGACATGAGTACGTACTATCAAAATCC